CCAATACAGTTGTCCTTCCTGTTTTGTTTGCAGTTCGTCATGAAACCGTGCACATACGGTTGTCTGTCCTTCCCTTTTTGTATCTGGTTGTTGAATATTTTTTTTAATTCCAGTAATTTACTGTTTTCTTTTTTATTGGCATGCGCATGGTATTAGCATTGTTTGTTTTATAACATCAGCTGCTATAATATATTGGTTTTATAGGTATGACCGATATAAAATGCCATGAGAAGTTCAAGACCTGCATAAAGAAAGTACAAAAATCTGGGAAGGTGGGATTTTCTCAGCAGTGTCCTTATGAGACAGCTGTGCCTACAATGGTACAAGGTATGGATTTGGCTATCATGCTGAGCCAGTTCAGTAACTCGAAGCTCGAACTATGACATGCCAAAGAGAAATCTTGTTCAAGAGTATCCCTACCTTCAAACAATTTTTCTCCAAGACCCAAAAACTTGGTATTGGAACTCATTTGACAGAAATGAACTAACTACGATTAAGTGAATGGATCCTCAGTCCTACCTGATTTTGTATTGTATTACTGACTCTGATATGTACATTTTTACAATTGGTTCTTATTCTAGAGCCGTCTGGTTATTGAGATACATTCAACAACTGGCCAACCCAAGAAGGAAACCTATTTTCTGCACATGAGAAATCCTATTTTTGTTTTTGTTTTGTTTTGTTCTAATTGGTAATCTGCATTCAAAATCATAATTCCTGCTGCTTCAAAAGTAGGGTTTATTTTTCTTGTGATTTTTCAACCCGGTAAAAGCTCTAAACTAATGTATCTTGTATGGATGGGATGGGCGATCAGATTGTCTGCTCTTAGTGCAAATGCAAAGCATGGCAACCTCAAGTACCAGCTTCATCTCTTCTTCAACTGCAATGGCGGAAACAACTTCTCTATCATTGTAGATTAGATTTCTCTAACAATAACTTTCCTTCACTTGCTCTGCAAGGTTGCTCCGTATTCGTCAACCTTCCATTACTTCCAATTTCCAGCATCATCTCCCCAAAGCTGAAGAAAAAGAAGAAGAAGATCAACTATATTATCACAACAAAATTTACTCACAAGTAGTTTAATTGATCAACTTCAACTATATTATATATTACATGCCGACTACAAATAATCACAAAGTTACTTAATTGGACATTTGCATACAGGAAACGAAACTGATGGGATGGAAGATAGGCATTTATTTCCTGGGGATGGAAATGATTTTTCTTCCTGTAGGAAGAATTGGAACGGGCAATTTCCTGGGGGTTCTTTTGTTCGGCTATACTAGGTTTTTAGAATTTTTTAAACAAAGGAATAGTACAGCCGCCCGGCTATACTCGATTTTTTCAATTTTAAAAAAATAGTATAACCGCTCGGCCGTACTCGGTTTTTTTGTTTTAAAAAAGAAATAGTATAGCCGCACGGCTGTACTATATTTGTAATATTTAAAAAAATAGTACCGCCGCGCGGCTGTACTCGGTTTTTTAAAAAAAAGAAATAGTATAGCCGCACGGCTGTACTATATTTGTAATATTTAAAAAAATAGTACCGCCGCGCGGCTGTACTCGGTTTTTTAAAAAAAAGAAATAGTACCGCCGCGCGGCTGTACTCGGTTTTTTAAAAAAAAGAAATAGTACCGCCGCGCGGCTGTACTCGGTTTTTCTAATTTTATTTAAAAGAGCTTGATTGGCCGGTTGATTGAAGGGAGCAATTTCAAGTGTAATATTTGCATCTCGAAGATGTGCAGCAGAAATACTAGAACTCAACGCAAAGCATTTCACAGCTAAATAAGGGAAGGAGTTTGTCTCTGCAGCTTTAGGGTTTAGGGGTATGCTTATATATACCTCGTGTTATTTCTTTGGTTATGTATAATATGGAAACCAAAATTAGGCAAATTGGAGATCCTGATTCATATGGAGAGAATGAGTCCAAGTCTCTTGAGGCCCTGCTGGTAAGATTGGCTCAGCTATAAAACAAAACAAAAAAGAGTTGCCCGCGTGTGAAAAACAGTATAGCCGCACGGCTATAATATTTTTGGGGAAAACAATTTGAAACCCGAGTCTAGGCGCACGGCTATACTATTTTTAAAAAATGAGTCCCCCGCGAGGAGAGCGTGTAAAAACAGTATAGCCGTTCGGCTATACTATTTATAAAACAAAAAAAAAGTCCACCTAGCGATTAGGTGCCCGCCTGGCAAGAATAGTATAGCCGCGCGGCTATACTACTTAGAAAACAAAAAAAAAAGAGTCGCCACTAAGTTCGAGCAATCTTCATGTTTTCCGGCAGACATAACTTGTTTCGTTTCCAGTACTCTTTTTCAAGAGCCATACAATGAGAAAGGGATCACAAAACTATACAAGGAGCGGTCCACCAGAACCTCAGTCACATATATTACTTCTGATGATGATTCTTCAGCAATTGAACTCTCACCTGCAAATGGTAGCTGCCGTAAAAAAGAACCATGCAGTCAGAAATGGAGCTCTGAAATAAAGGTGAGCACAAGTTCCTCTTTTCGTTACTTTGATTCAGATGATAGTGAGGCTGAGGAAGATTTTCCCAGACAGACTTCCCCCAGTATTGCTCATCTGATCACTAAATTTTCTAGGAGAACCAAATCCGTTTCTTCAAATCCTGTTAGAAGTTGAAGCTCAGAAACAATAATTTTTCCAGAAGCATCAGTGACTTGAGATTATGACCAATGTCAAATTCCATGAGAAGTTTTTTTTTTTTTTTTGGTCTGAACCACGAGGGGGTTTTGGATGGGCCCCAACTATGGGTGGCACCTTTAAGCCTTAACCACAACCCAGACTAATCCCCCCTCACACCGGGTCGGCTTGTAAGGGGTAAAGTGCTGGCCAAAGTGGTGACTCCGTACAAGAGCAGGGATCGAACCCCTGACCTCTCTTAAGGAATGAGAGTGCCGAACCACTCACACCAACCACCTTGGTTAATTCCATGAGAAGTTTAACAGCTGCATAAAGAGAGACGAAAATAAAGGTGGGGATGTTGGATTTGAAGATTGAACTATATATTGCTGCACATGTGAACACCTTTTCCTTAGGATTTGTGTATTTGGAAAATCCTAAGGAAAAGGTTTTCATATGTATGAAGAGTCCTGAAAACTATGTTTTCAAAGTGGTCCTTGTCACCATGTGCCTGTGAGATAGCATATTCCTTTTCGACTTTTTTCTTTTCATCAGTTGCATGACATTAACAAAAGAACAAGACAACTAGTCATTAAATTCACAATTTGTTAGTTTCACGTTGGAAGTTAGGCAATTTATGTTGGTGGTGGGTCAACTACCCTTTAAGAAGTTGAGATATATTTTAGGTTAAGGATGTCAAAATTATCTAGATAATCAAATGGCTAAACAATTTCCGATTTAAACTTAAAAATAACCTCAAAAACCGGACAATTCCGATCATTACAACCTCTCCATACATGAAAAAAAAACGAAGATATATGTTATTTTGTGTTCAAGTTGCTCTTAGTTTTCTGCACATCAAATGATTGATGTTTTTAGAATCTTTAACTATATTTTACAACCATTGGATTAAGATTCTGCAACCTTTGTGAGCATTTGAGGACAAAGTCAAGACGTGAGGAGCAGGAACTGGATTTATAATATTGGGGGATGATCTGTCAATGCACGTGAATGAATTCCGTGACTCATTTTTAGCGTTGGCTGCATTCCATTTTCAACTTTTGTGTGCCTCAAATCAAAACTTTATGGTTTGTAATGCTTGTCCTACACCGGTGTCTACATCCCATTCAGGGATTTTCAATTAATATATCTAAGGACTAAAATGATAGGCTTAAAATAAAACCATGAGATATCAAGTCCATCTATTATGATTTTGTCTTCCAAAACTAAGGGGTGTTTATAATCCAAATTCAATTTGCTTAAATTGATCTAATTCAATTTTGATTGGTTTCAACAATTTGGTGAATTGAATTGAATCTTAAAATCTCGAAAATCCAATCCAATCTAATTGCTTCATACTACTTTGATCTTATATGAGAAATGAAAAATATTATGAAAATACTCTAATGTGTGATCCGTTTTCCAATCCAATATCATGGATCCTAACTTTGATCAAATTGGATTGAATTGAAAGTAAGCAATCTAATCTAACTTGGTGGATGTATATTTGTTGAATTTTAACGATTTCGAATCCACGAATATGAGTGATTATAGAATATTACGGTAGTACAGTCATGTGATATACCTTGTACACGTATTATAATATAAGTGAATATTTATTGATAATATTCCCTAAAAGGGAGAAAAATAAATCATGTCGTCCACCTATATTATAACATGTGTGCAAGATATACCACATTATTGTACCACCATAGCATTCTATAATTCAATGATTTGATGAATTGAATTGAATTGAATTTTAAAATCTTGAAACTATTAGAATCAGATGACAAATTTACTAGGGAAAATCCAATCCAATCTAATCGCTTCATACTACTTTGTTCCTATATGAGAATAAAAAATATTATGAAAATACACTAATGTGTGTTTGGAATAAATTTAATGATAATTATTTTATATATCAATGGCTTTTTTTCGTTATTAAAATCGATTATCCAATCCAATCTCATAGATCCTAACTTTGATCAAATTGGATTGAATTGAAAATTAGGAATCTAATCCACGAATACCCTTTTCCCAAACCTCAAAGAAAAAGAATATAAATTTTATTTATAAAATAAAAAGACAATTTAAGAGAAGAATATCAGACACAAAAGGAGGAAGGAAAGAACATCATGACAAGAGAGTTTACTACCAAAATACTAAAAAGAACAGGACAACAAATTTTGGATTATTTTATTCACAGGACAAAAGAAGAAACTTAAAAAAAGAAAAAAAAAAAGGAAAAAAAGAAAACAAAGTCAGTCAAACATATAAAGGCTACAAGGTCAGCCTCTCATTGTTTGTTTCCTGCACCCTTCCACACCCAAACTTAATCACTCGTTTCCTTTCCGTGTGATTAAGGAGAAGGGGAAAGTCTTCGTTTTCCTTTTCCACGAAATTTCAATACCGTGTGCCTTTCTTTGTAAGATCCTTCTTTTGCTTTTACTAAATTCTACAATCAGAAACTTCCATTGTTATATTATCACACGCTTCACCCGAATCAATAGCCCGTCTGGGTTTCTTGGGCGCCGAGGAAAATTAATCAGAAGATCATATAACTTCGAAAGTTCAAAGCTTTGGTTTTGAAGAATCTCAATTCTGAATTCACCATGCTTCACAGGAGCTTCAAGCCAGCCAAATGGTAATTTTTCTCCTTTTTTTTCCTTTCTAAATTTATAAATATTATTAGCGGCCTGTTTGGTTTCCGAGAATCATAGGAGAAGAAAGAAAATTTGAAACAGAGTTTTGTACTTGTACAATGATTCCTGTGCGGTTGACTCTGCTGCTGCGGAGTTTCAAGTATTTGTTACCGCAAATTTGTGTTATGTATTGAAATTTTACTGTTTTATTGATGAATTTGGTGGGTTTGATTGGTGTCGATGCAGCAAAACGTCGTTAAAGCTTGCGGTTTCTCGGATAAAGCTATTGAAGAACAAGAAAGATGCACAAGTGAAGCAGATAAAGAGGGAATTAGCCCAATTACTTGAGACTGGTCAGGAACGGACTGCTAGAATTCGGGTTTGTCGTTGATCCTTCAACAACTCTGCTTTTGCAATCAAGTTTTGTTTTTTGTTTTTTGTTCTATTATAACCGGAGATTTATAGTACATACACACTATGCTTCTTCATGGATATGGTCCTATTTCATTTAATTTGGAGGACCTGCTCTATCATCAATATGCATTTTAGGAAGGCATTGATATGTTTTATTCTCTTAATATGTCGTCTGAAATGGTTTGAATGGGCAAGCAACTCACAGTTTTGCCAATTTCAACTGTGGTGCACTCATGAAAGGCCAAAGAGTAATATAGAAGAAACGAAACTTCTCGCCCTACGTGTTTTTATTTGATGACTGTCTTAGTAGCAGCCCCTACTTGTTGAATTTCCAGTGTGATAACATACACTTTTTTGATGACTTTTACGTGCATCCTGTATCTCAGGTTGAACATGTCCTCAGGGAAGAGAAGACGAAGGCAGCATATGAACTTATTGAGATATATTGCGAACTTATTGCAGCGCGCTTGCCTATGATTGAGTCACAAAAGTACGTAAATCCAATAGTTTTGTCATCTTTGTTCGTGCATGTGCTTTTGTGTTTAAATTTAGCATTACTTTGTTACGCGTCAGTGCTCATTTTTCAGTGCTTGCTTTAATATTGCTCATTTTAAGATTCATAAAGCTACAGGTATTTCTGTGTTTCTGTAACTAAGGATTTGGAGTTTAGAATATTTTACTGTCTGGTTTTTCCATATTATCATCATAGAATAAGTGATATGGTTATACTGCTTTCAATATTGTATTTTTCAATTCTTGCTTTAAAAGTGCTTGGGTTGTGTTGATTTGTTTAATATGTTACAGAAACTGCCCCATTGATCTGAAGGAAGCAATTACTAGTGTAGTATTTGCATCTCCAAGATGTGCAGACATACCAGAACTCATGGATGTTCGCAAGCATTTCACTGCTAAATATGGAAAGGAGTTTATCTCTGGAGCTGTTGAATTGCGCCCGGATTGTGGCGTAAATCGCATGGTATGTTCATATACCTGTTCAATTTCCGCGGATAGTTTGAACATGGAAACTAAATGGGTCACATTGGAGATGGCTGGATGAATTCTGTCAAAAGTCAGCAGATTAGTTTTATTGATAATTTTTTTTTATGTTATTGTCTCAGTTAGTGGAGAAATTATCTGCCAAATCACCTGACGGCCCTACGAAGATGAAAATCTTGGCTGCAATTGCAGAGGAACATAACGTCAAATGGGATCCTGAATCATTTGAAGAGAAAGAGTCCAAGCCTCCGGAGGACCTGCTGGTAAGATTGGTTCAGCTCTAGCCTGGTTCATTCATTGCTTGATATTGCATAGATAACATAAAACTATAGATTCATCTGGGTCGTATTACATTTCATTATTTAAGGCAAAAAGGAATTTTGTTACATTTGTGCAGAATGGACCAAATACTTTTGGCTCGGCCAGTAAAATTCATGTGGAACCTCCGCGTGGTCCACCTCCACCTAATCATGATGTCAAGGAACCTTCTAATGTTCAGGTTCCGCCTCAAAGTTATGAGAATCATGATGTATCCATGAACTTTAATCAGCAGAGTGCAAGATCTTCACCTCGCTTCCAGGATTCTGCTTCTTCAAATGTTTCTTCCAACAAAGCAACCACATCTGACACATTTCATCCAGAAGTGAGATCTTCAGGTACATCAATAGTCACTGGAAGGTGGTGATTTATTAAGTTTTAGTATTTTCTAGTGTTATTTTGAATTTCTCTTTAGTCTCATTCTTAATTGGATATTTACATACAGGAAATAGAACTGATGGGACGGAAAATAGGCATTCATTTCATAGGGACGGAAATGCTTCTTCAACGGGTAGGCAGAATTGGAACATGAACTTTAAGGATGCTGCCTCTGCAGCGCAGGCAGCTGCTGAATCAGCAGAAATGGCAAGCATGGCTGCCAGAGCAGCTGCAGAACTTTCAAGGCAACATTCTTCAGAATCACGGGATAAATTTAGCCAGTCAGCTTCTTTAACATCTAGTAGAACTTCCATTAACAATGATCCTTCACTGAATAGTCACCAAATGCAAGATCAATATCCTCAAAGGAAGTCATCTGAACCTGAGAAACGTGACTCTATAGGTGAAGTGAGTACAAAGAGACAGTCCAGCAACACTGATGTGTATGCTAGTGAGATGCAAACAGCAAAGAAACCTGATAATATTTCTTATTTTGGCGATATGAGATCTGAAGAGAAATCTAGTAGGCCTGCCTCCCAATCTAATTCAAGTTTTGGTAGTGATGATCAGGAGGATGTTTTGAGAGGGAATGATCATATTTCTTATTCAGGAGATACGAGGACTGGAGAACAATCTGCCAGGTCTCATTCAAGAAATTCAAGTAATGATCACGTAAATGTTTCCACTGGCCTGGGTGAGGATTCTTTTGTTAGTGATGCTAACATCTTTCAGAGCACAAAGCAAATGAATTCTTATGGAAATGCTGCTTTGGTTTTTGATGACTCTGGTTCAGATGATGATAAATATAAATTTGAAGTGGAGGACTTCAAGGGCCAAGAATCTAGTTTTTATTTTCCTTCTCCCAATAGAAACTCATCTTCTTCTTCAGCTCATTTAAATGATTGGAGCTCTAAACATCAGACTGATGAAGTACAATTTAAGTCCACTTCACAATTAAGTTCTTCATCGATGCAGCACTCCCCTCCTGTTTTTTTGGAAAACTTGACAGGTTCTGTGGCTTCTTCACAACCAAATGACTTGTTGCCTGTTGCTTTTGATGCTTCAGATGGCCCAAGTTCAGACAGTGAAGAGGAGTTAGACAAGTCTAAGCTTTCCCAGAGCACAGTTTCTAAATTTTCTTCTGGACAGAGCCATAGTGCAAGACATAGGTCATTTGGATCTTCATCTTCAGAGGAGTTAAATTTGGGTTCTAATCAAAAGTCATGGTTACTGCCTTCATCTCTTAATTTGAACTCCATTGATGTACAGTCTGAGAGAAGCCAAGGAGTTGAAAATAGCACTGCCTCGGAGGAAAAGTTTGATTATGATGAATTGCCTACTGGTCAGCCATCTCGAGGGCTAATGAAATCTGGATTAGACTCAAATGTTAAGGAAGATTTTCAAACACTACAGTTGCCTCAAACTGTGAAAGATAGTGAGGTTTCAGAGGGGTGTAGTTGTGTAAGCGACACTGACAATGAGTTGAACTATGGGACTTTGACAGGTGGCCTGCGGAATAAGGGGTATAAGCATCCACCGTATACCAGGAAACCATCGGGAAACTCTTTGTTTGTCGAACAAGTCACTAAGGATACTAAGGTTGAGCAACCTTCCCATTCTCCGAAAGTCAGGACTTCCATTGTTTCTGGTACTTCTAGTCAAGAGCCAAATAATCTGCAAGGGAGCACTAAACTGATTAAAGAACGAAGCAGAAGAACCCAAGTCTCATATATTGCTCCCGATGATGATTCTTCAGAGGATGAACTGTCACATGGAATTGTTAGCAGTAGTAAAGACCCATTCAATAAAAAATTGGGATCTGAAGTAAAGGCAATCTCAAAATCCACGTTTGGTTTCTTTGATTCAGAGGATAGCGAAGGTGAGGAAGATCTTCTCACAAAGATTTCCACTAGCAATGCTCGTCCAAGTGCTAAACTATCTAGAAGGACACAGCCCTCTTCTTCAAATTCTGTTAGAAGTTCTAGCTCAAAGACAACAGTTGTTTCTGACGTGTCAAGGAGTCGGGAGTGGAACAGACCCGCAGAACAAGCAGCTCCTGAACCAATACCAGAATCCCAGAGGTCCTCGCCTGTAGAGACTTCAAAGTCATACAGAAACCCCTCTTCAAGGAGTTCCTATGCCACTGAAACTGTACCAAAGCCCTTGTCCCAGACCAAGAGCTCAGAACGCCCAGGTAGTCAGGAGTGGCATAGACCAGCAGAAGAAGTAGCTCCGAAACCAATTCCAGAATCCAAGAGGTCCTCACCCTTAGAGACTTCAAATTCATATGGAAACCCCTCTTCACGAAGTTCCTATGCCACTGAAACTGTACCAAAGCCCTTGTCCCAGACCAAGAGCTCAGAACGCCCAGGAAGTCAGGAGTGGCATAGACCAGCAGAGGAAGCAGCTCCTAAACCAATTCCAGATTCCAAGAGGTCCTCTCCTGTAGAGACTTCAAAGTCATATGGAAACCCCTCTTCGAGGAGTTCCTATGCCACTGAAACTCTACCAAAGCCATCATCCCAAACCAAGAGCTCAGAACGCCCAGGAAGTCAGGAGTGGCATAGACCAGCAGAAGAAGCAGCTCCTAAACCAATTGCAGAATCCAAGAGGTCCTCACCCATAGAGACTTCAAAGTCATACGGAAACCCCTCCTATGCCACTGAAACTCTACAAAGGCCCTTGTCCCAGACGAAGAGTTCAATGCGCCCAGGAAGTCAGGAGCAACATAGACCAGCAGAACAAGCAGCTTCTAAACCAATACCAGAATCCAAGAGGTCCTCTACGCATGTAGAGACTTCAAAGTCATTTCCAAGGGAGCAATCATCCAGTCTTTCTCCAAAGATTGCAACAGCACGGAGCACTGAAACTCCAAAATCATCAGGTTCTACAGTGGAGAGTGCACCAAAGGAGAAAGCTTCTCATGTCCACCCAAAGCTTCCCGACTCCGATGACATAATTGCCAAGTTTATGGCCCTCCGGCGGAATCGACAATAGATATAGTTATTTGCACATAGTAATATAGGATACATTTTGATGTGATTATCACAAAAGGTTTGCTATTCTTTGACATACTTGAATTTTTGATGATCGTCAAGTAAGGGTTGATGGTTATATGTAACTTTCGTGTCAAAATTGAGTCGTTTATTTTTTATTTTTTCATTTTTAGACCATTATATTGCAAATATGATGATAAGAGTTATGTAATAAAACATTTTTCCGTTTCTCTTTGTTTTAAATTTTATGAGAATTAGAATTTAAGGAGAATATCCAATACTATGCTATAAGGATCATATCTCACTTTGATCAAAAAAAAAAAAGGATCATATCTGCCAATTACATTACTGCTTACATATCTCACCAAGATGGTTGGTTTGTTTTGGCCATGTTAAATTGTGGCTAAAAAATATTGTTCAAATGGTTTTATTGTAAAAGATTTATTAAAAAAAAAAGGCATACGTTTTTCAACAACATTTTCCTAGGAAGACAGTCATAGGGCAAATGTAGACCCAGGCTACAATTTAGCCATTCAAATATTAATTTAAAAAAAAATAGTGTATGGCCAAATTTTTTTATCTCTAGCCACGAATGGCTATATTTTAGGGCCCACCATATTTTATTATTTTGAGAAAAACTATGGTACAACATTCATACATTCCATTATTATGTTGTTGTGTGGTTTGTTTTCATTTATGGTGTTGTGTGGCTTGTTTTCATTTAGGCCATGGGAGAATAGCTTAGGCCATCTCCAGCCGTGGGTCAAAAAAAAATTTAGGGCGAATTTTGAGGGCCACATTTAGCCATTTAGTCATTCTCACAAGCCAAATTTATTTTGTGGGCCCATCGCATGTGCTACCTAACAGGAGGAAGAATCACATGTGGGCATGATCATGAGATCAGTTCGTGCAACTAGAAATTAACAAACATATATCCAAGGGTTGCTATTAAAGACGCACTAACGTCAGTTAGCGGTGAACGGTCAGAACCTTTTGGAAAGTGCATCAATTTTTTCACAAGCCTTTGTAACTTTTAAATTTTCAATTAAAATTTTATGAAAACAAGTTGTCAACCTCAATTTATATCATAGTCTCTAACCATGAAAAAAAATTACAACACACCGTTATAGTGTCACAACTCCTAAATGAAAACAAGCCACATAACTCCTAAATAAAAACAAGCCACACAACACCATAAAAAAACAAACCACAAAACAACATAGTAGTGGAATGTATGAATATTGTACCATAGTTTCTCTCAAAATAATAAAATATAGCAATCTGTGACTGAAGATGGAAAAATTTAGCCATATACTATGCTTTAAAAAATTAATATATTGGAGAGCTAAATATGACCCTCAAAATTTGGCCTAATTTTTTTCGGCCCACAACTAAAGATCAGTTTTACACATTTTGGGGCCTACAGCCATGGTTGGAGAAGGCCTAAAGCGTGTGAGGTCCCAACTGAGACAAGCTAGGGTGAAAAGTGCTTTACCTAACCAAGTAATAGTAATAGATAAATAAAAAGTTAAAACAAAAAGCTTGTGAGGCAAAACCAACTTACAAGAGCTTATAAAAAGGAAAAAGAAAAAGTGTTACAATCTCAAAGGTGAGACAAAAACCTCATAAGTTTAGTGTTGTTAGTATCTATTCAGAACTTCAATCCAGACACATTTTGGGTTTATCTCTGGATCAGAGTAATTTCCATATCAATTTGCAACCATGTGAAAATTATATTTGGTGGTTTTCTTTTCCTTTCATTAATCTCATGGTTGCCTCAAGTACTATTCTAAAATTGCTTTATGCAGGAGGATTTTTAGAATTATTGTGCATTGGAGGCAATGGAAAATACAAGAAAGCCAGTGAGTAGGAAAAACCCAACTGTGTTGCAGAGCCAGGAGTTACATGAGGTAACTCTGCATATAGGGTCTGCTTAATTTGAATAAACTTGTCAATTTATGCATGATATTAACAATTAAACTGCCTGTTCCAATTGAAATGGCAGTACATACTGAAGACTAGTGTGTACCCAAGAGAACCAAATCCTCTCAAGGAACTGAGAATTGCTACAGCAAACCACCCAATGTAAGTCTCTAGATTTCAAAAATGAAGGTGCAGCAAAACTGTAAAATTACAACATTTAAACATGTCTTTTTTAGAACCATCTTATGGTCCAACCATTCTTTCTTGTGCAGGGCTTTCATGGGGACTGCACCTGACGCAGGTCAGCTAATGACCTTTCTCTTGAAACTGGTGAACCCAAAAAAAGCAATTGAAATTGGAGTTTTTACTGGCTACTCTCTTCTCCTCACAGCTCTTACAATTCCTGATGATGGCAAGGTTGGTAACTTGGTCCATATATCCAATTCAACTGATATAACAACAACAAAAGACTTATGCTTTATAGTTTATAATGCATGAATGCAGATTACAGCCATAGACATTAACCGAAAAACATACGAAATAGGCTTACCAGTTATAAAAAAAGCCGGTGTGGAACACAAAATTGACTTCGTTGAGTCCCAAGCTCTGCCTATTCTCGACAAATTCTTAGAAGATGTAAGCAGAGAAAAAATTGCTACTTTGTATTTGACTCTATTTGTTTTCTTTTCAACTTCAACTATTCGAAGATTGGTGATGCTTCGTGCATGTTGTACTGCAGCCAGAGAAGGAAGGGAGTTTCGACTTTGCTTTTGTTGACGCGGACAAGAACAACTATTGGAACTACCATCAAAGGCTAATGAAACTGATTAAGGTTGGTGGGATACTCATGTATGACAACACACTCTGGGGAGGAACAGTTGCTTGGCCTGAAGAGGATGTTCCAGAGGCCAAAAGGGAGTGGAGGCTGTGTGCAATTGAGTTTAACAAATTGGTTTCTGCAGACACAAACGTTGAAATTTCCCAAGTTCCATTGGGTGATGGGATCACAATCTGCAGGCGCATATGCTGATCATCAAGTTGAGTCAGAAAGTCGATATGAATATCATATGTACTTAATCAGATTAGTTCTGTTAAGAAACTACTTTATAAACCTCAGTCGAGAATTGAGATGAAATAAAATCACCCAGTTCATAAAAATGACAATGTTGAGCAAGTGAAGTGATTGATCAAGAACTCAATATATTAAAGAGTCATGTTTAGTTATTCAAATTGCAAACTTTTTTCAAAACTCAAGTCCCATTCATCACAGCCTTGCTGACTTGAACACATCCAAAACTCAGGAAAAAAGACATTACAATCTACAATCACCAAATGCTTTCTCAAATATAAACCAACACTGCCGCATCAATTGTTATACAGAAGTTACCAATTGGGTGTCAGTTGGATTGACCCAGGATCTTAGCGTGCTTCCAAGTGGTCCTGGGTTCAAGCTCTCGTGATACCCGTGTGTGTGAGTTTTCCCTCCTCTCCTTCCAAATTTTGGCAAACAAAAAAAATTGTTATATAGAAGTTAAAGTTTTGGACTTTTTATTTGGCTGCAATGCACAAAGACTCTATAGCAATAAACGGTCAAGACAGGGCCATTTAACGTTACTTGTTCTTCTCTCAAAAAAGAGCGGCAACGGCAAGTCAAAGAATGTCGTACACTTTAGTACGGTCGTATAACAGCCAGCATGCAGTTGAAAAAGAAAATTGAACGGCAATGGAAAATAAGTCAAAAGTGGTTGGTGGGGTCGGAAAATTCCCAACTCATCAAAGACACTTTTTGCTCATTTATGATTTGATGTGTTTCGGTTCACCGTCGCAGCAAATTCAAAGGCCAAGACTCGACCTTCCGTTTTCATCGGGTTCTCTCTTTCTCCATATCTCTTTCCCTTTCTCAGTGAAATTTATTGCATAAGCGTAGTGTCAATTGTTTGTTTACTATGCATGAAGGTTCAGACTTGAGATTTTTATACTTTCTTTTCAATGAATATATTGCAGACTCTTAGGTTGAGGAAGAAATGATACATACCCTGAATACTTGTAGCCTAGATGGTAACTTTGTCTTTGAGAGATTGATGAGCGGTAAATAAATGGGCATATGGGTTTACTAGGTTGATGAAAGTCGATGTGAGAATGATCACACAGTTTGTCAAATTCACAGGAGTTGGGTTTATCTGTTGAGTCTGATTTTTATCTGTTCATAAAAATTTACTATGTTGGCATTTGATTTTGTGAACCACAAAGTACTCATAGACTTTTCACCCTTCATGGACACTCTAAAAAGGTTGAAAGGTGGTAGTTTGATACTCAAAACTTTGGGATTCTTGTATAGGGCCCTGTGACTCTGTTCTTGATGCCATTGAAGTTGAGTTGCAATTGTGCTCTGCCTTTGTACAGATAAGCCTGTTAATTTTTAATCATTCTCTTCTAAACTTAACTGTTGGATTTGTAGAATTTCTTGGATTAGCTTCTTCCTCCTTGCAGCCTATCAGAACTCTATTGTGAGATATTTGGAGAGAAATGGAGCACAACCTGAAAAAGGAATCAGATCCTGCACAAAAGGGACTGCTGCAGAGTGATGAGTTATATCAGGTACCACACGTTCTCTCAACTTTTGTTATGCTTTTTCTGTTTAAATTTTTTGACATTTCATTTTGAAAATGTGGCAGTATATCTTGGAGACTAGTGTATATCCCCGTGAACCGGAGCCTCTCAAGGAGCTAAGGGCTGCCACTGCCAGCCACCCAAGGTTGTCATCCTTCTTATCTTAGCGCTTATGATGTTGATTAAATCATATACATCCCAAGGTGTCCTGCATCTTAAGTTTCATTAAGCTTCTTGATAACCAAGCCATAACTTGACATGTGAGTGAGTGAAAACTATTAAATAGGATTATTAATAAGCTTGTTATTTTTCAGGTCTCAGATGGCTACTGCACCAGATGCAGGTCAGTTAATGACTATGCTGTTGAAGCTAGTAGATGCAAAGAAGACAATCGAAGTTGGTGTTTTCACCGGATACTCTCTTCTCCTCACAGCTCTTACAATTCCTGAGGATGGCAAGGTCTGCCACTACTAATTCTGAATTTGCTTATTTGTCATGCGAGGCTATAATAAAAGATTATGCTGAAAGCTAGTAAGTAATGAACTTCCATGTATTTGAAACTATTTATGGTTCTGAATACCTTATTGCAGATCGTAGCGGTAGATGTGAATCGTGAGGCATATGATCAAATAGGGTTGCCAATCATAAAGAAAGCTGGTGTTCAACACAAAATTGACTTCATTGAATCTGAGGCCCTACCAGTTCTTGATAAGCTACTAGAACATGCAAGTATTTTGCATTTCAAACCATTCTTTTCAGCTGAACTGAAAACAACAAAAGTTGTGACTTTTGATTTTCTCGTCGGTTATTATGTTGCAGCACGAAAATAAAGGCAGTTTCGACTTTGCTTTCATTGATGCCGACAAGGTGAACTATTGGAATTACCATGAGAGGTTAATGAAGCTGTTGAAGGTGGGTGGCATAGTTGTCTATGATAACACCCTCTGGGGAGGAACAGTTGTAATGCCTGAGGAATCGACTCCAGAATACATGAAACAAGGCAGACAGGCGACTATTGAGCTTAACAAGTTACTTGCTGCTGATGCTCGTGTCCAAATTTCACATGCTTCTTTGGGTGATGGGATCACAATTTGCAGGAGAATTCACTGATTCTTGCTTGAAAGTTGAAATCTTACATGTCTAAGCTTGAGCATTTGGCAATCTTCCTTTGCTAATGAGATTTGAATTATAAGTTTTCTGAACTCGGGAGTTTTAATGAAATAAATTATTGCTGTAGTGATCTCTGCTTTATCCGAGAGTTGTTAATGAGGCACGAACAACTTCATCTCCAGAGTTCCCAAATGATATGGCAAACCAAAGTCCAAACCATTCAAGCTAAAAATGATTATAATTTAAAAAGGGAGGATTGTTCCAAAATTTAAAGATTGGTCATCTAAGAAAATTTCTTATCTTCATGAAGGAATGGCTTAAAAGCATAATTTGGTTGAACATAACAATTTGACAAGAATTTTGGCCTAACTAGAAGAGAGACATATACCTCTTAAGTAAATGGACTTGGCATTCATATAGGAGTTCGAACTTGAATTTGAATAAAATGATCAGAAATAACGAGTAAATTCCCCTAGTATGTGTAATCTCAACCTCTACGACAGACCAAAACAAAAAAGTAAGCAAATCTAACGCAGGGGGAAAAATGTGAATTTCTGAATTCCTAATCCTACATAGGATCTTGCAAACCCTTAAATAAAATGTGGTAATTATCATGTTTGCTGAGCCCCATCCAGTAGTTATCAGCTTCATCACGACTACTTGAATATCATAAATCAATCTTCACAATGAAACTATATTAAGTCATAGTCTCGACAGCTTTCTTGGCAAATGTTTCAGCAACCAGCAGAGGGAAAGCAATTGTTGCATCGCAATGTACCTGGTTCAACCAATCAAAAGGAGGGAAATTAAACAGAGGGATAAAACTCTGGAAGGGTTAGCATTTGGTGGATAGAAATATATATTATAATGCAAACAAAAAAGAGAGCTAAGAGGGAATGGGCAAAGTGAAGATATGACATAGGTTAGGTAATACCTTAACAGTTTTAGCAGAACCCCGTATTTTCCCCCATGATACAGCCTCATCCGGACGAGCCCCAGAATCACTCCCATCAAACTCTTGTGCAGTATTGATGAAGACAGCATAATCTGCACCATTACGCATCATGTTGGCATTGCAAATGTGATGTTTGGGCAGGCCCCCTCCGAGAATGATCATTCCAGTCTTCCTTGGATTTGCATGGACAGCTTCGCCATTCATGGCCCTAATATCTGTTCAAAGGCATGCTATCTTGTGATTACATTTTCCCAAGTTAATTATCAGCTGCAATGACAAGGTAACGAGCAGCATACCTTGCACTACATCAACGATCAGACCTGGACTGCGGAAAGAATGAAAGTACAACATGTCTCCCAGTGAGCCATCTGTTAAGCCTGGACAGAAAACTGGGATATTGTTCTGGAAAACAACCACAAAAATACACCAAATGTTACTGCAAAGATCACTGCCGCTATTTTCATAGATACAAGTAGAAGATACCAAACATTCCAATAGTACTCTTGCATAATTTTGAAACACAACCCCATTACTAACTAACAGTAACATTTATCCAACCAAATTTAGACTTTAAAATAAACAATACCAACATGATGTACAGGCTTAAGAGATAAACATAAAATGCTCGATTTGGTTGATTTCTTGCCTTGTATGCCCAATAAAGATATGAACGTCGATCATTTATTTCCTTCCCCAAGCGTGCAATCAATTTAGACGGTGTCCACAATATGTTCTGCTAAAAAAAACCATATCAATCACACACACCCCATAAATTGAAAAAACTAACTTGAAAAGAAAGTATCCTTTTTTAAGATACATGCCTGCTCAGTTTGTTCCTTCAACATCTGGTCGAAAATCGGTATGATCCAATCCTCAAACTTGCAGTAGTTACCATTAGGAACAAGCAAATTACCGATACGATTCAAGCCTTTCGACCGCAAATGAGCTCCAGCTAAAGAGAAATCACCTCTATAAGTGGGCGCAAGGCATTTTATAAGATCTTCCTCTATGCCACCAGCAGTTGTAACCACCACATCCACCATACGGTGCTCCACCAAGTACCGAATCGTGTCTCTAATCCCAGACGAAACCAAATTCGAAGTAAAACCCAGAAACACCTTGCATTTCACCGACTTTCTGTACTTCAAATCCCCCTCGTCCTCACCGCAATCTTCAGCTACAGCCTCGTCTGCTAGGCTCCAATCTAGCTTCAGTGCAATTAAAATGATGGGTTTGGTTAAAAACTAAATGACAATGAAGTTGGCTTGGTGAGAGAAAGTTTACCATTTGGTTGACGACTTGAATGGCGTCTCCGAGATTGGAGGCTTGGAAGCCAGTGTTAAGCATGGAGCTGAGGAGTCGAGGGTAGTCTATGCCTTGATTGAAATCGTACCCTTCGATTTCGCTGGATTGGCCCTCCAAATCCTCTGACTCTATGAACGCAGAAGAGTGCGCGCTTGCAATCAGGTTGTCTTCCATTGCT